CATTTAAAAGAAGTCTTGCTGGAGTGTATAAGACCATCCACGGTTCGAAGTGATTCACAATATTAGCCCGCCATTACTCAAAAGAAAGATCCCTTTTGGTGGACATGCCCTAAAGCGAAAAAGTTCTGGCTTAAGATACATACCTGGCGGGAAAAGATGACTAAAAGACAGATCAATTTTAAACCAGAACTGTTTTTGTTAGGAATATTAGAAGCTGAGTATGAGAAAGAGAATGAATATTTAATATTGCACGTATTGACAGCAGCGAGAATAGTATTTTGCCCAGTGCTGGAAAAATGAAAATTTACCAACTGAAGAGATTTTAATTAAGAAATTTTTAGAATGTGCAGAAATGGGTAGACTAACCTTAGAGATCAAAGGGAAAGAAGATTCAGTTTATTTTAGAACACGGGATAATTTTTACCAATGGTTAGGAAAACGAACTAGTGAGAAATGAATGTGATATGTTACCTTGAATATATATTAGTAAGAAGAATGATATGTATTGACCAATTGATACTGTTTATGATTATTGTCTATTATAATTACTACAGCTATTTGTTGTTAATTGCGAAGTCGTGTCCGACCCATCGCGACCCCGTGGACAACGTTCCTCCAGGCCTTCCTATCCTCTACCATCTTCTGGAGTCCATTGAAGCTCACGCCTCCTGCTTCAGTGACTCCATCCAGCCACCTCATTCTCTGTCGTCCCCTTCTTCTCTTGCCCTCCATCTTTCCCAGCATCAGGCTCTTCTCCAGGGAGTCCTTCCTTCTCATGAGGTGGCCAAAGTACTTGAGTTTCCACTTCAGGATCTGGCCTTCTAAAGAGCAGTCAGAATTGATCTCCTCTAGGACTGACCGGTTGGATCGCCTTGCAGTCCTGCAGTCGCAGGAGTCTTCTCCAGCACCAGAGTTCAGAGGCCTCCATTCTTTGGCGCTCCGCGTTTCTTATGGTCCAACTTTCACATCCATACATTGCAACTGGGAAAACCATGGCCTTGACTATACGCACTTTTGTTGGCAGGGTGATGTCTCTGCTTTTTACAGCTATTTACCATTATATTAATCAATGTTAATTGAACATATGTACCCAGACAACAATCTGCTTGCTAAAGCTTGAAAATGTTATTGGGGGGGTAACCCCAATGTTGTTTCTAATCATATCCTAACCCCAATCCCAATCTTAACCCCACCCCAAACCTTAATCCCTATCCTGGTCCTAGATAAAGAGCCCCTTTGTAGGGGCGACACCAGATTTCCAAAGGCAGAGGTGAAAAAATTTATGGAGTACGGATCGTCTTCAACATACAACCACAATCATCTTTTATGACCCTTTTTACCACGGTCCTTAAGCGAATCCCCGCAGGGGTTGAGGGAATCGCGCACTCGTCATGCAAACACAGCTTTCTCCCCTTTGACTTTCCTTGTCAAGAAACCAGCTAGGAAAGCCACAAACGGCAATCGTGTGCACCGCGATTGGAGCCAAATTTGTGCTTCGTGAGTGTGCGTGACACCCTTGTCGGGATCACCTTAATGCAGATGTTTCTGCTCTTCACCCTTTGGGTGGAAATACAGCTTTGTCCCGTTCCTCTGTCTTGAAACCGTCATTTTAGGCCGGGTGGATTTGAGGCTGGCTGTCAACATTTCTTCTAAAAATAAGTCAAGAGAGCGGATTGGCTGCTGAAACGCCGGGCCCAAATTGCCTTGTGCAGTCTATGGGATAATTGCTAGGCTGGGATATTGCAACTCCTTTGGAATTGATCGGAGGTAGGCCCCACGCCAAGAAGATTGGGAAAGTGTTTAGTGTGTTAATAATGGCATATAGGTATCCGGCAGGAGGCAACCCATTGAGCTGTTAACTCTTGGCTGGTCAACTCAAGTCTCTGTTATTCTGCCGTTGAGCTCTTTCAGTCAAGATTCATCCCAGCCGCGGATGTGAGAGTTAATTTCTCAGACAGATGGTGAAAAACAGTAGGATAGGAGATCTGACAGTTTCAAAAACAAAGGAGAGATGGAGACAGACTGGCCAGCTCAAAAGAGCAGGCCGAGCAACACGACATTATTGCTCGGTGGAGAGTCTCCTTGGCGTCACAACAGGGGCTGAAATTTCAGGCATCGCTTTGCTACATTCCTTCAACAAGTATTACTTATCTCCAATTTCTGAATTTTATTTTTTATTTTTTTTAACCAACTTGGTAAGTGGCTCCTTCTGGCCTATGACATAAAGCTTGATGGAAGTTTTTGAGCTGAAGACTTTTAAAATGCCAGCTGGAAAATAGCTGGAGAATAGCAGGCTAGATAGAACATGGTCAACAACATGTTCAGGAGAGGTTTTACCTCAATGGTTAGATCTCTCTCCCTTTGTAGGCAGCAGGTCCCAGGTTAAGTTATCTGTATCTACAACTCAAGGTTTTGTTTGAATTAGTATGGACCAGAAACAGCCCATCTTCACACCCTGAACTGTTCTAACATGCCAAAGCAACAAAAATGATTAGGGGGCTGGAGGGTAAAGCATATGAAGAATGGGTTGCAGGAATTGGGTACGTCTAGTTTAATGAAAAGAAGGACATGATAGCAGGGTTCCAGTATTTGAGGGGCTGCACAAAAAAGAGGGGGACAATCTATTTTCCAAAGTGGAGTAGAAAAAGAAAGAGAAAGAGAAAGAGAAACAGAAATAGAAATAGAAATAGGAATAGGAATAGGAATGGAATGGAATGAGAAGAGAAGAGAATAGAAGAGAATAGACAGATTGTAGAATAGAATAGAATAGAATAGAATAGAATAGAATAGAATAGAATAGAATAGAATAGAATAGAATAGAATAGAATAGAATAGAATAGACAGATTGTAGAATAGAATAGAATAGAATAGAATAGAATAGAATAGAATAGAATAGAATAGAATAGAATAGAATAACAGAGTTAGAAGGGACCTTGTAGGTCATCTAGTCCAACCCTTTGCCCAAGCAGGAGGTCCTACACCATTTCTGATAGATAGCAGTCCAGTCTCTTCTTGAAAGTACCAGAAGGCAAGACAAGAGAAAATAGGTCGAAACTAATCAAGGAGAGAAGCAACCTAGAACTAAGGAGAAATTTCCTGACAGTGGGAACAATTAACCAGTGGAACAGCTTGCCTCCAGAAGTTGTGAGTGCTCCATCACTGGATGTTTTTAAGAAGAGATCAATGACCATTTGTCTGAAATGGTGTGGGGTCTCCTGCTTGGACCAGAAGACCTCCAAGGTCCCTTCCAACTCTGTCACATTCTGTTATTCTGCCGCTTGATGTTTGAAGAGCCAGTTGCCAAGTTTAAAAGACTTTGAGAAATTCTGCACTTGACTCTTACAGATACAAGTTGCTGCATTTGTTCGGATGACAATTAGCATTTTCTGGCACGCCAACCCTTGCTTGAAATGGAAATGTCTGTCGCTCTGTTCCCGGGCAACTTCATTGCTTCTCTTTCTTGGCAGCCAACTGTCCCTAATAATTGATTCTTTCAACATCTGGTGCACAGATTAACATGTGAGGGCTAATGGTCCCAAAATGGAACGGCAATTCATTTTCATTGGGCTTAATAAAATAACCAAGTGAGGAGAGGGACCCACAGTGTCAGGAATACTTTAAAAACCAGTTTCTCTCTCCTCCTACAAAGCAGCAAAGAACCCACTGACTACATTACGGATGATTACTCGGCCAAAAGGACTTGCTTCTCCAGAAAGATAATTAAATGTATAGCTAATAAGGCCAATTTTCTAGCTTACGAAGGCATGGGATGCCAGGTTCCCACTTCCACGTTGATCTGTAATAAAACTCATTTCCTTATGCTTGGTTTAATCCCTCAGTAGAAACCGAGTGCAACTTGTCTCTCACAACATCCATCCATTCACCTCTAGGACACTTGCCCAACATTGTGGACATGGTGCTGGGTCACAAGAATTCCTCCTTTTGATGTTCCTCATCATCAAGAAGTTAGAGTAGAGTAGAGTAGAGTAGAGTAGAGTAGAGTAGAGTAGAGTAGAGTAGAGTAGAGTAGAGTAGAGTAGAGTAGAGTAGAGTAGAGTAGAGTAGAGTAGAGTAGAGTAGAGTAGGGTAAGGTAGGGTAGAGTAGGGTAGGGTAGGGTAGGGTAGAGTACAGTAAAATAGAATAGAATAGAATAGAATAGAATAGAATAGAATAGAATAGAATAGAATAGAATAGAATAGAATAGAATAGAATAATAGAATAGAATAATAGAACTGGAAGGGACCTTGGAGGTCTTCTAGTTCAGCCCCCCACTCAAGCAGCAGAACCTACAGTATACCGTCTCAGACAAGTGACTGTCTAGCCTCTTCTTAAAAATTTCCAGTGATGGAACACCCATGATTTCTGAAGACAAGCTGTTCCACTGGTTGATTGTCCTCACTGTTAGGAAGTTTCTCCTTAATTCCAGGTTGCTTCTCTCCTTGATCAGTTTCCATCCATTGTTTCTTGTCCTGCCCTCTGGTGCTTTGGAGAATAACATGACCCCCTCTGCCTTGTGGCAGCCCCTCAGTACTGAAACACTGCTATCCTGTCTCCCCCATTTCTTCTTTTCTTTAGACTAGCCAAACAAGTTCTCTGTCCTTAGAGGAACAATGTTGAGGGAAGGAAAGTCTCATGAATCTTCCTGGTTGTCCAATTTGGGGAGATCTCTAATCTGCCTCTACATCAGAAGTGCCAAATGAAATGGACCAGGAGTCTAATTTGGCTTACAGCCACTTTCTTCCTGAAGACCAAAGACTGGAATATATCACTTCTGTTGTTGTTGTTGTTATTATTATTATTATTATTGTTGTTGTTGTTGTTGTTAGTCTGGCCAGTTGGGTCTGACAGTACTGAGATTCAACCATGAAGAAATTCATCCTTTCAAGATTCTGTCCCTGTAAACTTACAACTGGTTTCATTTCCTAACCAGGTAGCCTCATCCGAAGGGAATTTGGCAGAAACGTAACGAAGAAACTTTGTTTAAAACAAAACTTCTTACCATCGCGAGTGGAACAATTCCCACGAACAGGGATTGGCTGACAAAGATCTCGGAGACCACCAGCTCGCTCGCGGCCTCGTCTCGAGGGTACTCGACCTGCCAGGTGATTTGTTGGGCTCCAGCCAACTCGCTGCTGTTGTCAATTTCAAAATCCATTTGAAAGATCTCATAAGAAGTTATGTTGATCCTGGGGAGGAAAAAGAAACAGAAATGTGACATTTCAGGTAGGACTTTGTTTCTGTATTCTTTCTATCTATCTATCTGTCTGTCTGTCTGTCTGTCTGTCTGTCTGTCTGTCTGTCTGTCTATTTATCTGTCTGTCTGTCTGTCTGTCTGTCTGTCTGTCTGTCTGTCTGTCTATTTATCTGTCTGTCTGTCTATCTATCTATCTATCTATCTATCTATCTATCTATCTATCTATCTATCTATCTATCTATCTATCTATCTATCTACCTACGTATCTATCTATCTATTTGTCTGTCTGTCTGTCTGTCTGTCTGTCTGTCTGTCTGTCTGTCTGTCTGTCTATCTATCTATCTATCTATTTATCTATCTATCTAATTTATTTGCCACCCATCTCGTGGTCCACAAGAATGAATTTTATACAAAGATAATCAGGGGACTGGAGGCTAAAACATGTAAGGAACGGTTGCTGGAATTGGGCATGTCTAGTTTAATGAAGAGAAGGACGAGGGGGGACATGATAGCAGTCTTCCAATATCTCAGGGGCTGCCCCAAAGAAGAGGGAGTCAAGCTATTCTCCAAAGTACCTGAAGGCAGGACAAGAAGCAACGGGTGGAAACTAACCAAGGAGAGAAGCAACCTAGAACTAAGGAGAAACTTCCTGATAGTTAGAACAATTGACCAGTGGAACAACCTGCCTCCAGAAGCTGTGACACTGGAGCTTCTTAAGAAGAGATTGGAGAACTGTTTGTCTGAAATGATATAGGGTTTCCTGCCTGAGCAGGTGGTTGGACTAGAAGACCTCCAAGGTCCCTTCCAACTCTGTTATTCTATTCTATTCTATTCTATTCTATTCTATTCTATTCTATTCTATTTTATTCTATTCTATTCAAAGGCCCATTCATTTTTTTTACTACTATTGTTTTTGGCTATGATGTGGAGGAAAGGAGAACAAAATGCAAGTTAAGCTCCCCAAAATGGTGAGTTTAGAAATGCAACTAGGAGAAAAATAAGAAGTATAACAGTATCTCTCTAGCATGGTTATTACAGTGGCAAATTCAAGAGTCTATAATGAAGGAAATTAAAGAGGTGAGATGTTCCCCACTAGAGGATCTGAAGGGACAGATGGGGACAGATTAACCTGGAGAAGCACCATCTATGAGTTGACATAGACTTGGTAAAACCTTATTGAGCAGAAGCAGTCATTATATAGAATTCCCAGATTTTGAAAATGAAATATTTCAGGAGTTCTCCTCCCATCCTAGATCTCACTTTAAATTGACATTTCAGTGTTCATGATGCTTTCCTGTTACTTTTTCTTTTCAAGAGCGCCTCCATAAGCTCAGTCATGACACAGAAGAGAGTTGAAATCACAAGCAGTTCCCCAACAGCATACAAAGCGATCCAGATCAGGACAAAAAGCCTTTCCATATTTTCAATACTCATTTGATGACTCTAGTTGAGTAAGAACAATAGCAATACAATCCTGATGATTCCAGCTTTAAAGTATGGGATTATCTGTGCCCTTCTCTCTTTCCCTCTGCAGCCAATTTGCACACACTAAGCATTACTGGCAAGAAAGAGAGAAAGAAAGAGACAGAGATAGGGACAGAGAGAGGGGGGACACAGAGAGAGAGGGGGGGACACAGAGGGACAGAGAGAGAGAAAGAGAGAGAGACAGAGAGACAGAGAGAGACAGAGACAGAGACGGACAGAGAGAGAGAGAAAGAGAGAGGGGGGAGAGAGAGAGAGACAGAGAGAGAGACAGAGACAGAGAGAGGGAGAAAGAGAGAGAGGGAGAGAGGGAGAGAGAGAGAGAGAGAGAGAGAGAGAGAGAGAGAGAGAGAGAGAGAGAGAGAGAGAGAGAGAGAGAGAGAGAGAAACATAGAGAGGGAGAGAAAGAGAGATTAATGCCCCCCCTCTCTCCCCCCCCGGAAGGAGAATAAAGCTGTTCCTTCCATCTGCTCTATTCCTTCCTTCTTTCTCTCTCTCCCCCTTCCTTCCTTCCTTCCTTCCTTCTTCTGCCCTATTCCTTCCTTCCTTCTTCTCCCTCTCTTTTCCTTCCTTCCTTCCTTCCTTCCTTCCTTCCTTCCTTCCTTATGCTCTATTCCTTTGTTCATTCTTTCTTCTGTCTCCCTTTCTTTTCCTTCCTCCCTCCCTCCCTTCTTTCCTCATACTCTATTCTTTCCTTTCTTTTTCCTCTCCCTTCCGTCCTTCCTTCCTTCCTTTTGCTTCCTTCCATCTGCTCTATTCCTTCCTTCCTTCTTCTCCCTCTTCTCCTTGCTTCCTTCCTTCCTCCCTCCCTCCCTTCCTTCCCTCCTCACTCTCTTTCTTTCCATCTGCAGCTTCGTTTGTTTTTAATGGCTCTTTAGCTCTAACCATCACCCCTTGACTCAGGTCCTTCCTAAAGTATTAAGAATGATGGCTTCTTCCATCTCTGGCTTGGTAGATAATTAACTGTCAATTCAAGTCATGCCTATTAGCAGCTTGCCTAGGAGCTCAGCAAACCCCATGAATTCAACAGTGACCCAGAGAAGAAAAATCGGGAAAAATTGGATTGCCTTCATTTTGCTGTTTAAGGAAGGTGAAGAATGGCACACACAAAACCTTGTTATGCCAGCAGAGATGTTATTACAATCCACAAAAAGCTGAAAGTGTGTGTTCAGAGCCATCCTGGCATCTGTCAGAGGAACAAAAGGAGGAGAATGATCTTCTTTGATTGACCAGAGCAGAGGAAAAGAACAGGATCCTGTTCTTTCTCTCACAACTGCCCCTAAGTCAATTAAACTGCCAACTGAAGCATCTGCCGTAAGATGAGGACAGCCAAGCAGCAGAAGACATGGATGAGACCTCAAGGAAAGGCCCGCCAATCTAGTCTACAGGACCTTCCCAACTCCTTGAACTTCAGGACAGGTGGGTGGGACATAGATGAACTGTGGCGATTCAATTCAGAGGCAATTTGGTCACGTCCCTGAATCAAGTGAACGTCCGGGAATCAAAATCAGCAGACTGATTCGATGCATCAAATCAATTCTGTTTTCCACATTTGAGAGTCAGATCGCAATTGAATCGAAATTCAAATCGCATCAGGTCCGATTCACCAGAGGCTGAGCAACAGCTTGCTTCTACAGCGTAATAGGGGCAGCTCTCCGTGGTCCTGTTTCTTTCACTTTCACTTTCTCTATTATCTTCTTCCCTGGAAACCCTACTTCGACCTCATATGCAACGTTTCATTTCTCCTGCGAGAACAGCACAATGTCAACTCTGCAACGAGCCTGAAGGAAGCCATTTGGCTCGTTTTCGGTTGCCACCAGAATGGGAGGGTGGTGGTGGAATTTTTCTGCTAGCTTAAACAATTCTCTGTCCCGTGGGAACCAAGGTCCTTTCTGTTTGTTAGACTGGGGTGGGGGCAGAACCTTCTGTTAGAAAGCCAGCCAAACTATTCTGTTGGGAAACATAGTTGATGGCATAATACTAGGGTGGGAAGTTTAACTTTGTATACTGTAATTTTTGGCAGGGAACTTTAGTCTTGGTTTCACTTTTGACAGTGCCGATACTTTGTAGCCAATAAACATGTTCTTAAAGGAAACCTCGAGCCTCGGAGTTCTGTTTTAGTTGGTCTCATCTATCGGAACCATGACACACAACTTCTGAAGACCTGTCAGCTTCAATCTACACCTTCTAGTTAGTAAAGAATTCTTGCAGAATAACAGCACAGAATAACAGAGTTGGAAGGGACCTTGGTGGTCTTCTAGTCCAACCGCCTGTTCATGCAGGAGGCCCTATGCCATTTCAGACAAATGGTTGTCCACTCTCTTCTTAAAAATCTCCAGTGTTGGAGCATCCACAACTTTTTGGTGGCAAGTTGTCCCACTGATTAATTGTTCTCACTATCAGAAAATTTCTAATCAATTACCTCGATTAGTTTCCATGCATTGCTTCTTATTCTGCCTTCAGGTAGACCCCCCTCTTCTCTGTGACAGCCCCTCAAATATTGGAAGACGCTATCATGTCCCCCCCCCTTTGCATTTATTATACAGATCTTGCTTTGTGAAGATAGTTCCATTGTAAAACACTTTGTGAGTTTTCTCTGAGCTAGAGTAAATATTCTAAATAAGTGGGCTCCCAGTAGTTCCACCTACTAAAACAGGGAAAAAAACCCAATCTGAGTGTTGGATCAAAAGCACACTCCATCTACTCCAAAAGTCGTACAAAGCATTTTTGCTACGCGCGGCTCTCCTGCACCCTCCCTCTTCTGCAAACTTAGCAGAATCCAAGTGTCCTTTTGAAAAAAAAAAAAAGAAGACAAAACTTTTGGTGGGGATGAAGAACAGAAATCATCTCCACGTGCGCCCGGGCCCATTATTTCTTCCAAGCGATAGGATAAGGCCTTATAATTTCAGGCAGCTGGCACGCTTGCTAATAAGTCCATTTCTATGGAAATGAGTTCGTAACTATTAATTTTGCCTGCTCCTGATCTATTCTTGATGCGCTTTTCAAATTTAGAAAAGCGATTCACGATTCTCTCAATTTGGTAATTACTGACTCCTTTTGATAAATCCTACCCAGTGTTTCAAGACATGAGACATTCATTAGACATATTTCTTTCGGCGGAGGGGGTGGGGTGGGGGGGGGCATGGCACGATAAAAAGCGTCACGTAGCCCTGCAGACTTAAGTGAGCATCTCCCCAAACAAAGCCCAGCCATAAAAACCTGATGCTCGGTTGTAAGTTTTAGCGCGTGCCCCCCCCTCCGAATATTTCTGCAGAGTTGTTAGATTTTTGACAAAACTTGGAGTCATCAAGGCAAAGAGTTGCAAAGGCATTAGGAGGGAGCTGGAGGAACAAGACACGAATGGGCGTCAACCCCAGGAAGACGGCATTGGCCTTTTGAACACTTACGGATCTGTCTTTTGAGGATCCTGTTTGTGTCTTTGCCGGTGTCACAACAGCAGGCAGAGCAGAAAATTGCACTCAGCAAGAAACAGAGAGGTTCAAGCT